GTGCTTTTGGAGTCATTAGTCATTGGAAATTTATGCAAACCTAAATCATTTCTCAGCCCATATTACTTTGATTGTCCTCATCATTTGACAAAGCTGATTGTTCCCTCCTTCAGAGACTTTCTTCAAAATAAAAGTCTTCACCATGACCTACAGGGCAATGTGATGTCTTCCTCTCTCCCAGCACTCCTTCTTACTCACTCCACCCACTGTGGTTTCCTTACTTGTTCTCAAACTTGACAAGCATTTTTATACCTACTTCCTCTTTTCTCAATGAGTCTGTCTGCCTTTACTTTTATAAATGTTAACTGTAAATATTGATTAAAATTTTCTCTTTGGTTTCAAAAATATTAAAGTGGGAAGAAATGCCTTAGAATTAAAAAATAATAATAATTAGATCATTTAACTCTCATCTTTTACAAAATAATGAGGAATGCGCTAAATTTCACCAGTAGTTTTGCATGCCTCGGGCATAGTACTGTGATGATCTGGTGGATATACCCAGGGCTAATAAGATTGGATACAGTTGTCTCCTCTGGGTTTTTGAGAAATTTTAGACTGTCCACAAAATAAACTGCAGACTACTTTTTAGATCTTGGAAACATGACCACCCCCCACCACTCCCACCCCTACCCCCCTCAGCTGACACTTTTCTGCATATGTCACTCTGTCAAGTCCTAGAAACTTCCTTATAATTCTGGTGGTTCACTTTTAATTTCATAAAGCTTCCATCTTCTTGTGCCTTGACTAGTGTCTCCTGTCCCTCATCTGTGTGATTTTTCTTTTACTTCATCTTCTGTGTTTTCAGAGTAGTCTCTTCCAACCACTTACTTGCTTAAAACTATTTGAAGGTTTTCTTTTAGTATGGAAATCTATGCCCCCAGGAATGCCATATCTGGCATCTCCTACAATCCTCCTCTACATCCCTACCTGAGATATATTGGATTGCTTATGGTTTCTGAATACAGCATGTCTCTAGCATTACGCCATTCAACAGAAATATAATACAAAAAATAAATTGTTTAAAAAAAATTTTAAACGCTTGTAGTTGTAGATGGACAGCATACCTTAGTTTGTTTATTTATTTTTATGTGGTTCTGAAGATCAAACCCAGTCAATGCCTCACACGTGCCAGGAAAGTGCTCTAACACTGAGCTACAACCCCAGACCCTAGTAGAATTATTTTTAATGTCTAACCTATCCAAAATATTATTTCAATAGGTAATAAGATATATAATATATATACTTTTAAAATATAAAATACTAATAAGGTATTCTACTTTTTTTGTTATTGTTTCAGGTCTTCTAAATTCAGTCCATATTTTACACCCACAGCACGTCTGTGTCCGAACTATCCTTGCTTGAAATGCTCAATATGTGTGACTGGTGTTACTGTGTTGAGTGCTATAGTTCTGGGTCTTGGTCAGCACTGTTTAGTCTTGATTATTCCCAGGACTCATCTTGAACATTATTAATTCTTCCTACTATCTATCCAGTGAGAATGAGGTCTAAGTTACATTTGTTATTTTAACGTTAAAAAAAAAAAATTGAATCTCCCAAACTCCCAAAGGTTCAATTTGTGTTGTGGCCAGCATCAAGTATACACTAGGTGATCCTAGTTCAGCAGAGGGAAAATTAGACCACCAAGCCTGTTAGAAATGTTTTATACTTATAATAAATTAGTAGAGGGTAGAGTTCTGAAATGTCTTCCTTTAAGCAGCACATTGGCACTTTTTAATATGTATCCAAGAATTATATTTATATCTTGGTCATTTTAAAACTAACAAGTAAGTGACTTGCAGATAGTCACAGAAATTATGTTTTTAAAGGAAGTTTTAATAATGCAGTTTGAAGTTTAACTGATTTTTGAGGATTGCTGTTCTATTGGAGAATTGATTTTTTTTAAGTATATTTAAGTACATTTTTAGGGTTAATAATATATAGTATTTATTATTTTTAGAACTCACTGAAAGCTCTTAAGTGAAATAATGTTTGAGTATGGCTTGTAAGGGACTAAAAGTTTCACATAGCAAAAAGTATCTTAAGATTCTTGGTTGTGGCAGATTATTCTTGAAGGCTAAGTTTTTAAAACATGAAGTAGAACTTAGAACATGCATGTAACATTATTTTTATGCTATATGTGTCTGCATTCCAGTTGATCTCCATACTTCTTTTGCCCTTCTATGCTGAAAATATTTCTCATGACCATTTCTTGGCCAAACATGTAAATTGCCCTCTAAATTTTTCTTGGAGGGATACCTGGGATTGTCCTAAAATTAATTGTCATGTAAGTATTTATTTCTTTTTGGATATATGGAATTATCCAAAAGCACTATTTCACATTTGTAGGATGCTGATAAGAATATTGAAGAAAAGTAACTTTGGAGAATCCTATGTGAAAGAGATTTCTTTTTTCTGGGACTTCCTGACTCTTCCATATATACATTTGTTATCAAAAGAGTAGAGAGGCATAAGAATATCATTGTTTTCCAACAGCCATGGAACCAACCGATTTGCTTTAATTGTTTTTACTTTTGCAAATACTCATGGATTTTATCTCCTGGAATGGCTCTAAACAATTGACAACACACTATGCTGAGTGAAATACTGAATATGCATATGCTAAATTTCTTTTTGTTTCCTGTACAGAAGATCAAATGAAATCTCTCGTCTGTTCAGATATCCTTGGAAACCTGAACAGCAAAGTGTTCAGAAGTCAAATATATTCATTCATTTATGCTGTACATACTTAATGAGCAGACATGTATGCAAGATAGGTATCACTATGCCAGGCCTTTATTTGGTAATAAAATGGGGGGGGGAATATTAACTTTTATTTATATATATATATATATGAGAGAGATACAGAAAACATGAGTTCCACATTCAGAGCAGTAGAGTGAAAATGGAACTTTTTAAATCTTCAAAATATACACTATGATAGGTTAAGCATTTAAGACTTGAAATCTTTCTGTTACTTCAACAAAACATTGTCTGCTGAGAAGTATAGCTGCTCTTAATGTCATTGTTTTTCCCCCAGATCTATAGTAGCCTATTGAAATCAAATTCAAAATTCCCACATGGTATTCATGATTGCATTCTTTCTGTATAGTCTCTCCTCAGTATCTCTCTGTCGCTATATCTTCAGTCAAGAATACCCTATATACACTTAAATAATGACTGTGTTCAAGCTCAACCACATACTCCCACCCCCTACCCCACCATGTAGGCTCCAGTAGAGGATAAAAGTTCAAGTCTGGGAAATGTATGAAGGAGTCTAGAAAATGGGAAAGTTTTGCCAGATCTGATGGACTGAAAGGATGAGAATGAATTGAGTTTGCTGATGAAAAGTCAGCTCTTGAAGTCCAGGCTGGATCAGGAAGAAAAGGAAAAAGAGCAGATAAGCTGCAAGAGAAAGTTAAAGGAACCAATAATTTATTTTGAAGGAACAGAACCTTTTTATGTTACTTCATTTGTTATAAAGAAAATAGAAATTATTGAGTATTGAAAAGAAATTGATTTAGAGTCAGTTTGCCTGGGTGTCATCCCAGCTTTTCTGCTTTCTAGCTGTGTGACCAAGGGCAAACATTATACTTTCTCTAAGCCTTGGTTTACTAATCTGTCAGTTGGGTATAATAATAGTATTTACCTCTTCTAGTTCTTTGATTAGAATAGGTAATCTGTATAAACGACATGTAAAGTGTATTTGCTACTGTTTATGTATTTACTACAAGTAAGAAACACTCAAATGGTAACTGGAATCACCAGTCATTATTGTTCCTATCCCTTAGGAAGTTTGGGGGAATGAAGTCTGTTTTCTTTGATATAGAAAGCAGATGGTATTTGCTTATATATACTCTCTGCTCTTAAACTAAGCTCCTTAAAACCATGTTGATCTGACCACCAACATCCCTGGCACAAAGTATAGTATCATAGAGAGTGCTAGAATCAAATAGGACCTGGGTTTGAATCCTAATTCACTACTTCTTAAGGGTGAAATTGGGAAATTATATAATCTTACTGCCTTCGTTCTTTATCATAAAGTAGGAATAATAATAATAACCTGCATTTTAGGGAGTCGTGAAATGAATATCAGTCAATACATTATAAGCATTACCAAACCTATTTCCAGACTCGTTCTTCTGGCTTTGTTTTATTACTCTGGTATCACTTGTATGAATGACTTAGTCTTCTTACTTCTTCTCTTGGTTTTCTTACTTAGAAGTCTTATAGTGTTATAACATCTCCTATCCTGGCCAGGTGTAGTGGCACATGCCTGTAATCCCACCGGCTTGGAAGGCTAAGACAGGAAGATCGAGAGTTCAAAGCTGGCCTCAGCAAAAGCGAGATGCTAAGCAACTAAGTGAGAAGACACTGTAAATAAAATACAAATAGGTGGCAGTAGCACATGGGAAGATGAACTCTCCCTGTTTTGTTTACCCCTTTTCTTTGGCTGTATTTGATTACAGTATAAGATGTTCTTTTTTTTTTTTAAAGAGAGAGGAAGAGAATTTTTTAATTTTTTTTTATTTAGTTTTCGGCGGACACAACATTTTTATTTGTATGTGGTGCTGAGGATCGAGCCCAGCGCCCGCGCGCATGCCAAGCAAGCACGCTACCCCTTGAGCCACATCCCCGTGTGTGTGTGTGTGTGTGTGTGTGTGTGTGTCTGTGTTTAATAGTATTCCTACGCTTTACAATGGGAATAGCTGATATTTTTATTTGGTGCTAAAAAGGGGTGAGGTTTGTCCTCTGAAATATCTTTAGTAATGGCAATCTCTTTTGAAAAACGTTCAGTGATCTTGCTACTCTGTTAGGTTTGCCTAATCATTTTAGAAAGTGCCATCTGCTTGTTACAATTTAAAAGATTTTTAGTAAGAATGAAAAATTTAGGTTAAAAATGAAGTTGTACAGTAATGTACATAAAATGAAAATGTGCTGCAAATGTCCTAAAAACATAAAGTTTGACATTTAGAATAACTAAAATTATTTTTCTTCTTCAGCTTCCAGCTGATCTTACCAAGATGCACCTCACAGACAACCCTCATCCACAGGTGACTCATGTGTCTTCTAGTCAGTCTGGTTGTAGCATTGCCAGTGATTCTGGGAGCAGCAGTTTATCTGATATCTATCAGGTAATATCTTAGGATTATGTGCTGTGCATATAGCGTTTTTATTCTGCAAAATACTCTGTGCCTATGCCTTAGATGGTCATATATCTTTTAATTAGAATATGAAATTCAAGCATAAGGTCTTTGCAAAAGTATGTTTTATATTCTGTTTCAAATTCATAAGTCTAATTAAGAAGATGATCTATATTTTGAGAAGGATTTAGTATAGTTCAGTAATATATGACTGTAGCATTCTCTCTCATTTTTTTTTTTAATCCAGGCAAATCTATCTTAATATATAATGCTTTGGTTAAAAAAGAAAGTAAGAAAAGTTTTTTGAAACCCCTGAACTCAAACTTATAAAAAGGTTGATATTTAGTCGTATAAGTCTACTAACTATAAGTCATGAAGAAATTTACAGTTGTTTATGAATTGTAAAGACTATTATTATATAACATGAATTACATAGAAAATTAGTAAATTTGCAGACTTTCCTATTCTTAAAACCCCAATAGAAACTTTTAAACTTACTGAGATTTTCAGTGATTGTGTAATAGAAAGAGGGGCTCTGGAAAGACCCATAAACAGAGAGAATCCTCACAAAACCCTGCTGAGGTTAAATCCAAATTAGGTTCAAGTCAGTGCAGTGTTTCATGATCCTGATAGTGGAATGTCTGTGAGATTTTATTTAATATAAGATGTTTGGAACAGTTCTCTAGGTATGAGTTTTTATGTCCTGAAGTCCAGTGGTGGTTGATGTCATAGATTATAGAACATAAAACATAAAACACTTCTAATAAAATAAGTAGAGGATACATGGTATTCATGGTTAGTTTATTTGAAATTTCAGATGTACTATATAGGGCTGAGTAGTAGAAATTTAATGTGAGCCACATATTTAATTTTGAAATTTCTAATAACCATATAAAAAAGGAAACAAGTAAAATTTAATTTTTATAATGTATTTTATTTAGCATAGTATATCCAAATGTTATGACTTCAATATAAAATCAGTTTTAACATTATGAATTATTTTGTGTTCTTTTTTTCATGCTAAGTTTTCAGAAGACAATTTCATGTTAACTTATAGCACATCTCAGTTCAGACTAGCCAGAGTTTAAGTGCCTAGTAATCACATGTTACTAGTGGCCACCCATAATACTGATCTGTAGAAATTAAATCATTTGTAGTCTGAAGGAAATATTTTAGACTGCACTTTTATGGAGTTACCCAGATTGAGATATTTTAGGAAAATCAGCTTTCCTCTATGGAGAGAAGTTTGTAGGCAGAAAAAGCTTGCATTTTTTGGTTTCTGTCTGGCTTTTCTCAACAAAGGTCATTTCTGTGGCCATCCACATCTTACTGTTTGCCTGAACAGAAGAAAGAATTTAAAAAAAAAAAAAAAAAGGTGGGGGAGACTTAGAATAATGCAATGGCTCTGGGGCCACTTACTGTGTTTGTGTAGTTGTGGGACTCAACACATTCTACCTCTCCCAAAAGAAGTATCTTGTGAAAGAATTAAGAGTCCTTGCACACACACACACCCCAAAAAATGATAGTAGAGCTCTGGCTTCTCTAGTTTCTTGTGTTTTTCCAGGGAGGGAAACCCTGAGGAGAATTAAGTTCAAGGATGCAGCTTTAAATTACTCTCAGGATAAGTTAGTGGAAATATCTAGACCTTGCTAAGAGGCACTGTACTTTGAATTGTGGTGGTAACAAATTATAGGAACCTTGTTTCTCTGGGACATTCCATTTGTAATCTTGGTTATCTTTTTGGAGCAAGGAGTCCTGGTAGTTGTGACAAAAGGGACAAAAGGACAGTATAGAGATTGAGATTCAAGGTCAGATGTAAAAGCCGGTATTTTATTTTGAGTTAGAAAATGGGCTATCTACAGCTAGTATCTCTGCAAATATGCTGGAGGAGCACTGCACTTACATTTGCATCTACAGATTACCCACCTAGCTGGCCAATCTGAGGCTGGACTGAAGTACACTTGGTAGTTTTGTTTGGACTCTTATATTTCAGGATAATGCCTATTTGTGTTACTGCCCTGCTTCCAACCTTTGATGTATCTTCTTCTTTCTCAGTAATACTTTGTGGGGTTTTTATTGTTGTTGTTCTTGTTCTTGTTCTTGTTTTTTTCTTTCTTTCTTTTCGTACTAAGGTTTGAACTGAACCTGGGGTTTGTTACCACAGAGCCACGTCTCCAGCCCCTTTTATGGTTTTATTTTGAGCCAAGGTATCATTCAGTTGCTTAGGGTCTAAGTTGCCAAGGCTGGCTTTGAACTTGGTATCCTCTGCCTCAGCCTCCTAAGCCACTGGGATTATAGGCATGCACCACTGAACCCAGCTTCGATTTGTCTTATAAGAGATTCGTTTTAAGATGGACATTGATAGATATCTTTGCCAGATGGCCTGCACAACAAGATGACACTTTGTCATATCCCAGAGACAGACTTTGAAAGTTATCATTGGCTCTTCTCCCTCAATCATTTCATTCATCACCAAGTCATCTTGGTTCTAATTATTATGTGTGTTTCATGTAATTAACATGTAATTTACCCTCCTTTATTATAACCTATATGAAGACAGATCACTTCCATTACCTAAGAAAGAACACTATGCCTTTTTGTCCCCCCTTCTGATCCATAACCCCCAGCAACCACCAATCTTTTTTTTTCCCCTAATAGTTTTTGTATTTTCTAGAAAGGCATATAAATGAAATCATATAGTTTTAAAAAACATGATGCAATGAAACTTTCAGATTAACCAATAAAATAAAAGTAAGTTTTAATGAATTTAGGGAGATTGAACAGGTAAAGGGAATAGAAATTAAAATTGTATAAAGAGGAACTCAGAAATTTAAAGGAGAATATTATGGTAGTGCTATTGTGACATGTTTGAAACAAATCACAGAATCAGTCTTGAAGCAAGACATGGAACTTTTGTTTCACCAGAAGGACAGAGGGCTGCAAGCAGGTCACCCGTGTACCCCATGACACCCTTCAGAATTTGGGCATCTCTTTTATATCCAAAGCCACAATCTACCAGTAAGTCAAAACCATACAAGATACGAAGTGGATCAGAATTCAGGGAACAGCACATTCCCCAATAAAAATGGGGACTAAAAGGAGAATACCTTACATTATATAAAAATAAAAGAAACATTTTTTAACCACTATGTGATGTTAAACAGGGTGTGCAAAGCAGGATGGCAGAGGCAGGGTTTTCTCATTGGAGAAGTGGGGATTTTGGTTTTGGTGGGGTTTTTTTGTTTTTGTTTTTTTAAAATATGAAATGGAGGCTCAGGGTAAAATGGAGTTTGTCTGGTCAAGGCACATATAGTTTGGCCCCTAACAGTGCTAAATCAAAATACAAAAATGTAAAATCTTTAAGAGTAGCCAAAGAAAGTAAAAATTCTCAAACTGTTACACTCAGGGCAGTACTGAAAGAAATGCCATAAAAGTTAAAACAAAAACAAGCCAACATATAAAAACAGAAGGGAACAAAAAACCACTACAAATCTAAAAAATACACATGTCTATATACTTATATATATTTCTATACATAGAATGTACACTGAATTCAAGAGCATCAATTGACATCATTACCAGTGTTTTCTTACTGGTGGTAGGTTTGTGGGTAGCTTTTATTATGTTTCTTAAGCGAACATTATTATTTCTGTTTTTGACAAATCTTAAGGAGGATATAAAGAGTGTATTGTTAAAAATAAAAGTTGAAAAAATGTGAGAAAAGAGAAAGGATTAATTACTAAAGGGTAAAAGGAATTAAAAGCGAATCAGAATGATAAAATGTGCTTCTGAAAAATGCAGGATTTCTAGACCTACAATTTTTTAAAACCCTTGGATTAGGTTAGTAATATCAGTGAACCAAATTGTGTATGTTGTGTGCGTGCACATGTATTTCCAACCAGATCCTTGGGAATAAAGCAAAGAGAGGAAGAGTTAAATATCAGTACTAGTCTCTTGGTATTTCCCTTGACCTCAGACTACATTGGCAATACTTAGAAAACTGAATATACTTGATTACAAGTGTGTATTGCCAGTACCTTAAACAGCAATAGTTTAATTGTCTGGAGCACCTAACAGTAACTCTTAGCAGGAAAACTGTTTATACCATTTTATATTGCCAAATACGTGGCTAAAAATCTATGCATTTCCACTGAGCTACATCCCTAGCATCCTATTCATTTCCTTCTTCAGAGTTTTTACATCTTATTATTTAAAAATAGAAACTCTTGGCTCTCAGAGAAAGTTATTTACCACAGTTTTGGGGGTGGGATGCAAGGAATTGTTTCAGTGAATATGTTTATAAAATCAGATTAGCTTATAACGTTTGGCTGAAAGTAGGTTAGGATGTTGGATTATTCTTGGATGAAATAGTCTATGCATTATCAGAGTTCTCTAAAAGAAATGCTTCTTTCTAGATTTCTTTTTCTCTATATCAGTCCTTTTTCTTTTTTTTAAATTTTTTATTGTTGGTTGTTCAAAACATTACAAATTTCTTGACATATCATATTCCACACTTTGATTCAAGTGGGTTATGAACTCCCACCTTCACCCCATACACAGATTGCAGAATCTCATCAGTTACACATCCATTGATTTACATATTGCCATACTAGTGTCTGTTGTGCTCCGCTGCCTTTCCCATCCTCCACCATCCCCCCTCCCCACCTCTCTCCTCCCCTCCCCTCCTCTCTCTCTACCCCCTCCACTGTATAACCCTGAGGGTCTCCTTCCATTTCCATGCAATTTCCCTTTTCTCTCCCTTTCCCTCCCACCTCTCATCCCTGTTAAATGTTAATCTTCTTCTCCTGCTCTTCGTCCCTACTCTGATCTTAGTTACTCTCCTTATATCAAAGAAGGCATTTGGCATTTGTTTTTTAGGGATTGGCTAGCTTCACTTAGCATAATCTGCTCTAATGCCATCCATTTCCCTGCAAATTCTATGATTTTGTCATTTTTTAATGCAGAGTCATACTCCATTGTGTATAAATGCC